GCTGCTGGATGTGGAAGGCGAAGGAGGGGGAGAATAGATGGTAATGCTAATCTCCATATCAACTATCCACTGGACAGAGCTTTTTGTCCCAAATAAGATTTACACGAGCGGCAAATCTCGCTTCCTATCTTTCCCTCGCCGATTCATTGTTTCCTCTGGTGCTTGGGCAGTCTCTCTGTTTTTGGATCCATGAATTTCTCCATTTCTTTTGTTGAATATTCATTCCTTCACTGATTCTTCCCAGAACCAGACTGCCAGATATGATCCCATCCTCACCCATCTCACTCCGTGCGTCTCCAACTTGCTGCATCAGGTCCTGCTCCTTTCTCATACTTTGATCCACCGCGAGTTGCAGAGTTCCCATTTCCATTTAGACTTCCACTTCGCTTCGGACCTGCAATCGCACCGGTACGCCAGTTGGAGGTTCGAATGCTCTCTAAGGTTCGAGTCGGTGGTGGCAGTGGTGGTGATGGGAGGGTTGGTGAATTCCGAGGGGTTCGTGGTCGCGGCATGAACATATCTTGACCTTGCTCCGCATTTGGATCACACAAATCCGGTGCAAAACGAATGTCGAATTGATCGCCCAAGCCCTGCGCGGCTACCTTCTGCTTGAAGCAGCGAAATACCATTCTCGACTGGGCCTTGATGCCGCTAAAAGCCAACTCGACGATCTTTTGATCTTCCTTGTGATCCCACTCTCTTCGGGAAATGATGTAGAGCTTCATGTCCTTGCCGAAGAATTCTTCCAGGTCCTGGGCTGAGAATCCAAAGGATCGTGGACCGCGGAGTTGTACCACCCGGGATTGATGCTCTTCGTCCTCGGGGACGGGGCATTTCTTGTTTCGATTCCATTCTACGGTGATTCGTCGGCCGAGAATTCTAATTCCCTCGCCGGTCTCACTCTCCTGTATATATCTCTCGGCCGCTTCTCGTGTGCAAAAACACAGTCGCGAAGCGGCGTTGGTCCACTCATTATTCGGTTCATTCCACGCGACCGAGTATACCTTGCCATGACGAATGGTGGAGAAGAGATCCTTCATCGTGGCATCGGAATGGATGGTGGTGATGTGGAGAGCGCAGTTTTGATCCTCGGGCGTCAAGAGATCGTTGAGCACTTCGGCCGTTATCTCCCCTTCGTACTTGGGGTTCGGTTGCACTCCGGCGGCGTCAAGCATGGCTTGGATCTCGGGCGTAATGCTCGCTCGTTCGCCTTTCTTTAATCGCGCCGGCTGGAAGGGTATTAGTGGTTGCTCGCTGGGGAGTAGGCCTTTCTTGGGTGCATCGCTGGATGTTGTATGTGCACTGTCCTTATCTTCGTCTTCGTCTTCGTCCTCGGAGGTTTCGATATTAGATTCATCTTGAGTATCTTCTCCACAAGTTAGAAATTTGCTTGGGATGATGAATAGAAGAAGTTTTAGATCAACATTCTTTACTTACCAAACGATATCTCATCAGTATCGCTAGTACTCGTCGTGCTCAAATCCAAGCTCATCGCATTCCTCGCACTCTCCATCGTGGCATTCATGAGTTCTTCGGCAAGACCTGTGCATGGAAAGTGTTTGTATGGTGGGCATGAAGAGATGATTTCAAATGAGGGTCTCGCGGCCATACCGATACCGATCCCAATCCCTAACCCGATGTTTCCCGGTAGTCTCCCTCCTTGGGAGATCTTGCCTCGATCAAATCCGAAGGAAAATCTCGACATCTTCAATCTTGGGTGATTTTAGCGGTGCGGGATAAGATAGGTGTTTCCGAAATTTCATTAATTAATCGATTAGTTGATTAACTCTTTGCTTTGAAGGTAGATCCGAGAATGAGAATGGTCGAGAATGTACAGCTTTCTTTCTTTCTTTCCTTGGAAAGTATGGAAGGATCTTTCGAGGTCACTCAACTCGGAGGAGGGAGTAGCTTGAAGAGAAATTGTGAGAATGCACTTGGTTTAGAGGGGAAGAACTTCGTATGAACGAATTCTACGTGGTTTTGTTGTGTGATGCCACGAGGCGGGGAGGGGAAATCCTTTTTTGGGGGAGGAAAGGGGGGAAAGCGGGGCGTTGTGAAGGGAAGGGAATATGTCCACACTCTTTTTGATACAAAGATTTTCAGCTCGTGAGAAAGGACTTTGAAAGAACAAGGAAGCAAGCCAGCAAGCAAGATTTTGATGCTCGCTCGATGTTTGTTGCAGAGATTGAAATCGAGTGTGCAAAAATCGTTGGGTGTCAGGCTGGTCTTTATCTTGGGGTTGAGAAAATTGGATGGATGGATGGATGGATGGATGGATGGATGGATGGATGGATGGGTGAATGAAGCAAGGCAACTTGTCGATGGAGTTTGAGAGGGGGAATTATAAATTATATTGGATGTTGAAATTGATTTAGAGCAGACGTTTGGAATTTTTTCGAGTCGGGGCTTGTGTTTGTGTCGAGTTTCTTTATTTAATATATAATGAATTATTGGTATTGGTATTGGGATTTTGATATCTGGGTATTAGATTCTGGAGGTTGTATTGCATTGTTAAGCGAGTGGTATTGACCAATTCGAGGTTCTTCGGTACGGCGGAGTTTCCTAGTTAGGTTAGTGGTTATTTTTCTTGAGGTTTTGAGGGGAATATAATCAATACCTACCTCCCATAGTCCCTAGGTTTCATTGCCCTGAGGTTATTTATTGATGAATGAATGAATGGAACGGAGGGGAGGGAACTTGGTAGTAGCATGAAGAATGATTGTGAAGTTAAAAAGAAATCGGTTTGATTCTTTTATGGAGAGTGAATTATAAATATTCAAAATTCTTTTGTGGGTTGTGATGAGTCTCGTCTCATGTTTCTTTCCTCCTTTCTTTCTGGTGTGGTGTGGTCTGGTGTGGTCTGGTCTGGTGTGGTCTGGTCTGGTGTGGTCTGGTGTGGTCTGGCCTGGTGTGGTCTGGTCTGGTGTGGTCTGGTCAATTACTCTAATGAATAGGAGTAGAATAGAAATATTCATTGATGCGTAGGTACTAGGTAGGGTAGGTACAATCTTGAATCAAAAGATCTCTTGAGATGAAGAAAACTTGAAAGACTTAACACTTTGGGTTTCTTTCTATTAGTTTTCTGGAGGAGGGAGGATTTGATGGATTCATTTCTGGGTTGATTCTTCGGAATTAGTTACTAGTAAGTATGAAGCTCTTTATTTCACTTGATCGAGATATCTGGAATAGAATAGGATAGAATAGAATGGGATAGACTCTCTGAATTGCAACTTGAAGACAAAGCATATGTTAGAAGCTGATGATTTCTTCTCTTCACTTTCCCCCTTTCCAACTTGAAAGCTCCAACTCTTGAAATCTTGTTACGATTTCTTTTAGAATTTTGGCTTTAGACTGCTGAATTTTCCAAAGGGTTTTGGAAAATATCTGTACGGGATGGGAGATTTAGAGGGACTTGGAATGTGAGGTTGATATTTTGAATCTTTCGAAGAGTCGGAGACTTGAAATTACTTGGGTAATAGCTATACCTATTTTTTATATTGTATTATCTGAGTATTTGAGTCTACTTTCTCGGGTTGTATATACCTTAGATGGAACTTAATTAGCTTAAGCATCTCAAAA